TTTGATTTCTTAAAATTTGAGCTTTGAACCATGCTTCCATTCTCTATGTTTAGCAGTGTTTTCTGGAAATTCAGTCCCAAAGAGGATCGGTTTTTGGATGCATTTAACCCTAGTTATTGGCTTGGATGGTGAAATCTGGAAATTCCCCAGATTTTTGGCACTACTGACTTGTCCTTTGTTAAACTTTAGCCGCTCGAGTTGCGTAAGCACTAGTTGAGGGCTCGAGCGCGGCACATACGACCGAGGCAATAGCCACCAGTATTCTAACAAAGAGAATTAAAACGAAGTTTGGAAAAAATATGCATGCATTGTTTTAACACAAGTCTCACCGACTGGCTCAGAAAGATGTGACTAATGCAATACAAGGATTGGGAAGCTTTCGAGCGATGCCAAGGCAATAATGTCCATGCCCGATACTAAAATCCCAACGGAGAGTAGGTTCGCGGCTATTAAGACAATGGGCAAATGTGAGACATCACGTCAAATGTCTGGGGTATTTACCGTGCAGAGGACAAGTATGATTTCTAAAAACCACTCATTCCCCGTGACTTTACAAGGTAACGATCAGACGGCCAGAAAGTTGACCGCTCCGAAGCGTCGCAGAGTAACTCTTTATTGCATATGTCCCGCTCAAGCGGTAAAACCTGCCCTCTGGAGCGGGCGGACTCCCAGTTTTTTCTATTCCTAAAAACTTTTGACTGTCTGATCTGATAACTTGCTTTTGCGAGAATACAAATCTTGGCATCTCAAATCCCAATCCTAGGCATTCTTAGAAGGTCCTAGTTAATTAAGGCAAATCATCATTGAGGGGCAAGATTAGAACACACCGAGGTAAATCTAAGGGATTAAGTATTATCCTTCCCAGCTGTGTAGCTTAGTTTGTGTTCAAGTTGTTGTTAACTCATGTAGGGTTGGCGACTGGAGAGGGCCAGACCTGCCTTGTTAGACCCACGCTTAGCATACTGTAGCCAAACTCCTGTGAGGTAAACGATTGTGTTAAAAAGATAATTTGTCACACACAGGAATTTGATCTACTGAAACACTGAACTTTGAAATCCTGTCTGGAGATCTTTCTGAAACTGATTACTGTTAATTGGAAAATGAATGTATGTGCCAAATATTCTGAAATTGTATTTGGCATCCCTTAGCCCACGCTACTGTTTACTAGTTAGCTCGCGTGACAGAATTCCTGGTCGCCGAGTTCCCTTGTTTGGAGAGAAACACTATACTGTTTTTAATTGATTGATTATGGCGCCGAGAACTACTCGTTCGGTTTTTTTTTAATTTTATTTTTTTTTTTTTTTTTTTTTCTTTATAA